ATCAATTTATCACATTTTAAATAAATTAATAATCTGAATTTATTAAAATAAATATATTAATAGTAACTAATTTGTGACAAACAAATTTTCTCTAAAAAATTGACTGACGAAGCTTATTCTGAATTATGAAATAATTTATTCCTAAATTTTACTGTATACACTATTAGACATTATGATACTATATATTGAAAAAAAAATTTTTAAAAAAAAATGTAACCATCATGGATAAAGCGGATTAAGTAATCTAATTGGCTTTAATACATATGTAAATTGTCCTTAATGTTTAAAAATAGTGTTTTTTTTTTGCTTACATTTTTCAATATAATGATTGGCCACTTTCTTTTGATTTTCATCTTCAATTTCACTAATAATTTTTTCAAAAAAGTTCAAACAACGATCGAAATCGCCTTGTTTGTATAATTGTTCGGCAAGAACTATTTTATCTTGAACTTTAATATCTTGAACTTTAATATCTTCTATTTAGAGAAAATTGTTATTTTATCTAGCTTGGCTTAAGAATAAAATTTGGTTTATTCGTAAAAAATATTATTTATGAATATAGAACTCAACTAAGTATATTTATAAATCACAAATAATAATACCATAGAATTTAATTAATTTATCAATCTATTGATAATAATACTTAAAATTAAATAGTACAATATTTAAATTGATTTGATTAGATAATTGAAATTAAATGCCATTTATAAATTCGATTCTGATCTATTTTGCAAAAAAAAGAAGGAAAAAATGAATTATGAATTTATTCATAAGTTTCAAAATTTAAGCTTTAACACAAGAAGCAATAATAATCAAGAATCTTTACAATTTGGCATTGAAAATTTTATAATTGACTCTAAATCGCCGCTTTATGCCGAAATTTCTGAACGGTGGGCAATTATTAATGGCATGGTTTACTTTTATTTAAAAATTAACAATAGAATAAAATAGATTTTTTTAACAAGTTTATCAAATTCTTATCAAGAGCATTTACTAAAAAATGCAATTTTTGGTCAGAAACAAAATATAAAAAGATAGAAGCTCTAATTTAAATATTATTAACTTTAGAAGAAAAAAACTTTGCAAGTTTTGATTTCAAACATTCAAATGAAAATAAAGTAGTCTCTAATTTGATTAAAAAAGCGTGCCAAATTGTTGAAGAAAACCAATTAATTATAATATATTAGATTTATTTGACACAGCAATATACTATAAAAACTCACTTAAAATTATGGGTGGTTCTTTTTATGATCGACACCTCACAATGAATATACCTAGCTTATTATTACAAAACTATTCTATTCAAGTAATTCAAGTGATAGAAAAAATTATGCAAGCTGTGCAAACAACTCTATTAATTTTTGGGCCATTTGGACGAAACTGTTTAATATATTTAATACAACATACTCAATTTTTAGAGTATATCCTGAGATTTTAGAATTCACAACTGAAGCAAAAAGATATTTCTCATTAGATATTCTGTGTAAATTCCTTCAAAAAGATGAGCAATTTAAAGAAAGAAATTATCAAGATTATATTAGATTTATATTTTATAAGATAATTATTGTAAATTATTAAGTTTTAAAATTATATCATCAGCTGATAAGTGTTTCTACAAATAAATTTATTGATGCTTAGTATTGTATTTTACTAATTTTGAATAATATAAAAGAGACCCGATTATGAACCAAAAATCTTTAAATTTTTATAGAAAAAATAAATTGACTTTAAAATATTGGCATGACCATTTATTAGGTTAAAAAGGTATGTTTTTTTAATTTGTCATGTGGGTTTTTTGGGAACTTAAAATTTTTTTTAATAAATTTATATTATATCTTAAATATTAAAATTTTGACACGAGAGTTCAAAGTATTGGTTATAGCACATTGATTAATGTATTTACCTTTTACAATCAATTAAATTAATAACTAGATAGCTAAATTGTAAGAATAAATTTAACGTATTAAAGCTAGGATTACTTTTTTGATGCAGTTAGTGTTATGATTTATATATAGATATCAATAATACAATTTATGTAGTATATGGCGATTTGATAGATAGTGATAGAGAACTATACGTATATCTAGTATATTGACCAAACACCTACGCCTAAGTACTATCACACAAAAAAGAAGATTTAATCTCATAAAATTTAAAAAATACTTAAATTTTTTTATGGTTTCAGAATAAACAAACCCCACGTAAATTTATCTTTAAGACTAATAATTAAAGTTAAACCTTTATAAAAAACAGTTATGATTCTGATTCTCGCTTGATATCTATTTGGTCATATATATCCTATTCTTTAATCTCTTTTAAAATTTGGCTTAAATTATTTTCAAGTGATTGTAAATTCTCTGCTTCGTCAAAAAAGTTAATATTAAGATTTGTTTCAACTGCGCTAATTAATTGATTAGCTTTATCCATTTGACTTGGGAAATTTACTTTATACTTTTCGTTTTCATTTTGCCAAGAATTTTGTAAAGTTTGAAAATTGTCACAAATTTTGGTTTTAATTTCTTCAATATTATTACTTAGTCTTTTCCAAATAATTGAATAACAACTAAGTGCAACGAATCCATTATTAGTTATTAAATCTGACATAGCATTGTCAATGTTTTTGACATCATCATCATATCCAGTACCAATTTTTCTCTTAATTTCAGTCCAATCTTGTATAAATAGATCAATTAATTTCTTTGATTCAAGATTCAAGTTTGTTAACATCTTAGGATACTCCATAGATCTTGTGATTAAATTCGTTATTTTATTATAATTTGTTAACAATTCTTTTAACGTTTGAAATCCTGCTTTATTTTCCTAATTCTTCATTTTCTCCTGTATCGTATTGAAGTCCTCAACAATTTTTATATAATCATTTTCAATTTTACTTTTAACAGATTCAATCAATTTTTTATTTGCTTTGTCTAGATTCATCAAATTACTTTGTAGATTTTTAAATATTTCAAGCATATCGTTAAGTATATTATTATATAGTTTCAATTTCTTTAGTTCAGATATCCAATTTTTATAAAACATTATATTAAATTCTTTAACAAAGGTCTGAATGTCTTCAATTTTATCTGAAAACTGATTATTATTGATTCTATTATAAAAAATATCTTCTTCTAATTTACTTATTGCCACTTTACATTTCTGAAATATTCATGATAAATCTTCTCTAAATTGAGCATATAAGAACTTATTGTTATAATCTATATAAAACTTGTTTTTTACTTTGATAAAAGCTGTCATATTGTCAGATACATTGACTTCGTTTATAATATAACTAATTTCATCATTTGTTGTATAAGGGATATATTCTTGTTTCTTTAAATTTTCTTTATGATGACGTTCTGTTTCATTCTGAATCTCTTCCATTTCTATTTGAAATTCTGGATCCAATAGAATATGTTCATCATCACTATCTAATTGCATACTATTTGAACTTTGTGAATTAGTTGAGGAACTTGATCTATTATGATTATTCATATCACTAATACAAGATTCATAATAATTTCTATAATCAAGAAAAGATTCATTCATCAAAGGACTACTATCAAATTCGCTTTTAATTCAAGGGTTTGATTTATTAACATCAAATAAAATTGGTTAATTGGAAGCTTTTCGACTAATTTATTGTCATTCAGATTTAGTTTATCTGCATATACCTTTAACCCTTGAAAAATGCTCAAAAAATGCTTATTGTTTTGATATTGTAAATCCAATTTTAATTTAGCATTATCATCAATCAATTCAAACATCTTAAGATAACTTGACTTATTTAAATTTTTCTTCCAGAATTCAATACCGAAATTAGGATTTGCAGCTAAAATAATTAAGCCAAAAGTTTTACACTATAACCATAGATCAACTGCTAAATTAAGACATTTTCTTATTTTGTTTATTGCATCCTTTTTGGAAATTTCATAATCTAATGTTATCAGACGACTACCAGATTTCTTTAAATTAATCATGGCAATTATTAATTCTCATTCTATCAATGCTTTATTAATGCTCTTTTTAAATTTACTATAAGTTTTATCATTTATTTCATTAGAAATAACTAGTCTATTTTCAAAAAGTAATTGCGCAAAAAATAAAAGCTTTGGTATTTCGAGATAATCATTGGTAACATTTTTATAAATTGACTTTGTTAACAAAAGTACTATTTTGTTAATATTACTGTCAGTTAATTCTGCTATTTCTTCGACAGCTTTGGATTCATCATAACTTTCTAATATTGTTCAAGATTTTACCAAGACATTATTTACAAAATATTCAGTTGATTCTATAGTAATAATAATGATATCAAAAGACTTTGGTTGCTCTTTTCTTGTAATTCCATATATTGATTTTATTTGACTGTTGACATCATCATCATCTCCAGTTTTAATTTTTTTAGTTTTTATGTTGTTAGGTATAAATGAAACACTGGTGACTTTTTTAAAAATATTAAATTTATAGGAGTACTTTCTTGATTTTAAGTAACCATTTTCTTGAAATATATTAAAAACCATATAAAATATTTTAAACAAAAAGTCTGTTTCTTTGT